ATCTGATTACTGATCTCCAGACATTTAGATGTCAACACTGCTATAGTAAATCTTATAATTCACAGTCTCTCACCGACCTCCCATAATTCTTGAAGACAATGAACTGATATAACTCGACCCTACATTATTTTGGCGGCGACGGTATTGGTGATTGTCATGGTGTGTACTATACATTTTGTTGTATACGTTGGGCGGGCGTGAATATGGTGAACTATACCGTGGCGGGTTATTATCCCGCACCCTCTCCAAAGGTCTGAACGGTTTTTTGAATGAATTATGCTGTGGCATACTCTTTGGTTTTACCATTTTTGGTGGGACAGACTTATGTATTTGCTCTGCTAAACCAGTCCCGGAGTGATGATCAGATACATTAAGATTCTGTTGCAAAAATTCTTCTTCCTCATACCCGCTACTATTGCTGTCCTGACCACCCTCAACTTCCTCATCCCCAGTTCCAGGGTCAGAATCGCTACAGCTGCTTGTATATTCAGACAGCAATTGGTCACTTTTTTTGGTATACCTGTTGTTATTGTTCGACTCATTTTTCTCCATTACTATGGGATCTCTTTTTGTTTTTGACATTTTAGTACTCAAAGAATGTTCTTCTTCTGCAACGGTATCGGCCGTTTCAGGTCCACTAGTATCGTCAACATTGTCGGATCCAATGATATCCATCATATCCGATTTCTGCAGTTTTTCACTATTTTGCCAGCTTGTTGAGAATTTTCTCTGCTCCCATTGTTCCAGTCTCTCAAAAAAACGTCTCATGTTAGGCCAGGTTTCCTGAGTAGATTTTAGCATAAGTTCTGTTTTTTCCAAAAGTGAATCCCATTCTTCCCGCCTTTTTTTGTCGCGTAGCCGTCTTTTCATATTTGCCGGGACTATGGCTCCAGTCCCATTCTCAGTCCCAGTACTCTTTGGTTTTTTTATACCCCCTTCCTCGCAAATGTTTTGTGCCTTGATCAATTTTTTTATTACTCCTTCATCTCTGTTTTTGTTCGATTTTTTCCCAATGACACTTTCATTGACTCCAGTTCCTCTGTCAGACTCAATCGGACTTTGGACAGGGCTACATATTTCTGTAGAACCCGTATCAGCTGTTCCTGGGTTCTGACTAATTGGGTCTGTTGGGCTACCTGGACCCTCAGTTCCGCTACTTCCTGGCTGATTTTCATTGTGTGCAGCACCAGTGTCTCGAAGTCCTGCCTCGGTACTGGGACTGGTTTCTTGACCATTTTGTTGCGTTTGAACAGCTTCTGAATTTTGCACACTATTCGACACGTCCATAAGTTACAAGTAGAGTCCTTACACATATCAAGTCTATATAATTATAAACACACAAAATTTTTTAACGGTGTATAGTATACGAGTCATATATAGATATGACGTGTACCTGTTTTCACTTAGACACGTCACCATGTTACATGTGTCGCGTCGTAATTCCAGTAAACAAGTCTAGTTTAATGCAACGTATACCTGGTGACGCG